TCGCTTACGGCCATACCAGCCTGAATACGCCCGATCTCGTCTGATCTCGGAAGCTAAGCAGGGTCGGGCCTGGTCAGTACTTGGATGGGAGACCGCCTGGGAATACCAGGTGCTGTAAGCTTTTTCTCACACAAAACACACCATGCTGCTGTTTTGCTACTGGAGACAGCCTCACCTACGAAGGTTTGATCAATAAATTAATACTGAATAGAAGTTAAAAGCAGAAGTTTTCCCAATTCTGCATTTACAGGTTTGTTATGATGCCAAATAAAAACTATAGAGTCAGTGGGAAATGGGAAGTCACAACCTTACAGCAGCCAAGTCACACATCACTAATAAAGCAAAACAGAAGAGGACACATGGAGCAGTAAGTAAATAGCTAAAATATTAATTGGAAACTGATTTGCAAACTGGAATTATACCCTGTAGTGACTGTCTGTGTCAGATCTCTGGCTAATACACAGATAACTAATTATTTTATTTGGGTCCCGACATCTGGTAACATTGGTAGCATTGTAGTCAGTAAAAAATGTAATACACATACTCCAAAATAAAATGCCATGTAAAATGTAAAATTGCAAAATGAATAATAATGTTGGAGATTCAAAACAAGTGATTACATCTCTGGCTAAGGTAGTCACTTTTTTTTTATTATTTTGGATCAGACATTTAGGAACATTAACCATTCAGTAACAAACTGTGATACATATCATGAAAAATATAATACAAAGTAATATATCACAGGGATCCACATGGGTTAAAAAGACACAAGTTATGCCAAGTATGTTTAAACTTAGATTTTAGGGTTATTATAATTTGAATATACAGCTTTCTTTTTGTGTGTGTTTGTTCTCAGCATATTTTTATTGAAGCATATTTAAGATATACAGCACATACAGCAACATTCAAAAACCCAGCATATATTCTGTCTATAAACAACCCTCCCAGTCCAACAAACAGTCCAAAGACAAGAGTTAAAGTGCAAGAGTGGAAAACTCAGAAATATAAAATACAGTAACTAAATCAAAATAAATAAGCATGAAAAAAATAAGAATACATTTGAGAGTAGTATAAAAAATAAAATAAAAATACACAACTTTCTTATTATACTAAATACTAACTACCTAATGCACTTGTATACTTATATATATCAAAACTGGTGTTAAAGTTACATTAAGATGCTCTCCAACTTCAGTGCCTGTCACTGGAAACAGAAAACAGCAGCTCAGTCACACATGATGAACAAAACGGAACAGAACAGGGCAATAAAAGAAACAAACTTATCTTAATTAGAAACTGCTCTGAAAGCTGGTACTAGATTCTGTAGTATATAGAATGTGGTACATAGAATGCAAAATAAATAATATTTAAAGTGCAGAATTAGTGTTTATGTCAGAGCTCTGGTTAGTAGACACTTTTTTTTCTTTTTAACTGAGACAGACATTTAGGTGTATTGACCAATTAGTAACAAATTGTTAAATATCTTGCAAAACAAAATGCAAAGTAACGTAAACTGAAAATCAAAGGTAATTATGCAGCTAGATGACATATGACAGGTGAAGTCCATGTAGTTATAAAACACGACCAATATATTTAAATGAAATGAAATGAAAAATACTTTATTTATCCCATACTTTATTTATATTATCAAATGTATAACAGATGAGTATGGGTTGCCCCTGAAGGCGAGTTAAGGTATTTATAAATTCCAATTCAGTTCAATTCAGGGCGATTCAATTTAATATGCTTTATTGGCATCAACACGTTATTATTTAAATTATAACATACTTTATTATTGATGGAAATTCTGCATCTACATTTCTTTTATGGCACTAAATGCAAACTATATTACACAGTGCATCAATGTCCAGTTTGTTGTCAGTTCTGCCATATTATGTACAGGACATGTTCTCTCGGTACAGTATAAAAACAAAAAAGACTAACACACCAAGAAACAAGCAATGCAATGCAATGGATCGTGCATTAGTCTAGTAAAATACTGCCTGACTGGTGTGTAAGCAGATAGATATTTACAGCTGACTGTATACGGGTGTGTTACTGTTACTATGGAAACAGCCATTCTAGCTCCTCATACGTAGCAGCTAACGGGCTAGCCTTGAAGCTAGCGGCATTTTTTAAAATCGGAGACGGTCAAGTAAAACACATACGAGACACGGCAGCAGCAAAAGGTATTGTCAGAAGTGGGATTCGAACCCACGCCTCCATTCGGAGACCAGAAGTCCCGGTTCACAGGAAGGAGTTACCTTGAGTCTGGCGCCTTAGACCACTCGGCCATCCTGACAACGCTGCACAGACCTGCGAAACAACCGTATAAAAACCAGCAAGTCACCGGTTATCGGCAGGTTTCCTGACGTGGTCAGGGAATTATTCACTTTCTTTTCCGCTCTCAACAATATTTAAACCGAGCTTACTTTGTTGTGTTTAACTCAAAAAAGAACCCGTCGAAAAACTGTTTGTTCGCGCTGACAGTAATAGCCTGAGTTGTCCTCCAGGGGCGCTACGACACACTTTTTAAAATTTACTTCCGGGTTGCCACACACGTGACTCCCCGCCCAGTTTACTACATAACTCGTTCAGTCATTCTTATGAAACCAAAACACTGCACTGTGTTCAGGCTGCAGCTTACAACACAACCAGTTACAACACAAGCTGAGCTGCTGCGTGTGTGTTAAAATGTCTTTTTACAGGAACGCCGTTTGGTTTGTGAAAGGACTGCAGGAGTACACAAAGTAAGGAAAATATCATTTCTATGAGAGCTTACAATGTGAGGGAAAGTAAGCGGACACACCTCTCCTCTTGTAGTTTTTACGTTTTGCGTAACGTGTACTTAATCCCACTTATGTGACAGTAACTGTGCGACCTGCATTCAGGGGAAACCACACATGTTGTTTAACTGGTGATAAAAATCAGCTTTTGTATGGCTATACCGAGAAAAATGTTTCTCTGAGCAAATGCATTTTTAATACTGTTTGACAGGTCTGTAACTATCAGTTGTCTTCATTGTAGATTCATCTGTCAGTTCTTTTAATGATTCATTTGTTCATTGTCAAATTTCCAAAACCTAAAGATATTCAGTTCTACTGTCACAGAGAAGTAAAGAAACCAGAAAATATTCACATCTAGGAAGCTGGAAGCAGAGAATGTAGATGCTTTTTGTTTGTTTGTTTGTTTGTTTGTTTGTTTGTTTGTTTTTTAAATGTCCAAAGCAAATAACTAATTATCAAAATAGCTAGCAATTATGATAGGAAAAGCTAGGTTAACACTTCATTAATCCCAGAGTGGGGAAATTTGCAGTTTTACAGCAGCAAAGAGCAAAGAGCAAAAAATAAATCTTCACTTGCTTTATAAAGAGGTGTGTTGTTGCCATATATGGTGATTTGGAGGCGTTCCTGAAGGCAACGTGCACGAACACGGAGGTTAAGAACAAGTGGGATTTATCAACACTGATGTGTGTACGACCCCCATATGCACGTTTGATAAATACAGATTTTTTTTGTACTTACGCACACTCTAAATTTCATTCGTACGACAGAATTTAGAACCTTTTCTACGCACTGATGATAAATGAGGCCCCTGGACTGTCAGAATCTCTGATATTGGGATGGAGTGGGTAAATGTTGATTGCTCTCATGTGGTATCACACAAGAGAGAGTCATCAATGATACCCCAGAGAGGAAAAATATAACAGACACCAATACTTAGTCTGCTTCTGTTTGCACATATAAAAGTAAAGTATATCAGCAGTGTTGTGAGATTAAAATATCACAATATTATTATGGGCATCAAAAACTAAAATTACATTCAGATTAATTTAGATTCGTTGAGGAGCATGGATGTGTGATATTACTGCTTTTGGGCGTCACATTTACCTTCTAGTTCCCAGACTCAAGGGGAGACAAGGCAACAGGATTCATAGTTCAAGTAGTTTTGATCATAAAATAAACTTTAACCCATAAAGATATTTAACATCTTTCTCAGCTTCTGCCACACCTTCAAACATCTACACAGCTGAATGTCCTTGTTGCACCTTTCATTGCAACCAACAGGGTCGTGTAGTCCACTTGTACATCAGTACAGTTTAATTTAAAGTTACTGAGAGTGTATGATTTATATTCCACAGCCAACTTAACCCTGAGAAAGCATTTGTTGTACATCAAGCTATTTATTTTGTTGATACAAAAATGCTGAAGTAGAACCAATGTAATACAAAAACATGAATACGTGCAGTGATTTGATCATAAACAACAGGAGGTTGGGTAAGAATTTTGTCTATTAAATGTCATAAAATAGTGAAAAATGCCTCTTATAATACCCCACAGCCCAAAGTGTTGTTTTATTTAATCAAGCAGCCCCCCCCCAAAAAAAAAAAACAAAAAAAAAACTGTTTCCTGACAACAACAGAAAAAGCATCAAATCTGTATTTTTGAGAAGCTGGTACAAACAATTGTTTGTTGTTCCTTCTTGAAAAACTACTAAAAATAATGAATTAGTTATTGAGACAATTGCAGATCATTTTCTGTTGATCCTTGAACTGATTAATCATCCATTCATTGCAGCTCAAACAAGCTGCCACGAACTAGAAGAAAGCAGAACATAGATTTTGTGACATTGGTCTGATCACACTGGCACCGGTATGTAAGTGTGGTGGACTCATTGTACTGTTCTCTGATCTCAACAGAAGCGGCTACGAAGCTGCAGCGAAGCGTTTTGCTGCAGGTGATCTAGAGGTGAACCTGAGTGGAAGGTCCTTCATGGTAACTGGTGCCAACAGCGGGATAGGCAAAGCCACAGCGCAGGAAATCGCCAACAGAGGTGAGTTTTTGAACATTGGCAGCCAACAAAATGGAGACAGAGGGTGATCACACATTATAAAGTTTGCTTTTTATATTCTGTTTTGATTGAAGTCTCTATCTTGTCGTTTGTATAGGTCTACAAGGTGTAGCATCAGTGTGTTTGTATGACTTGATTTAACGTATAAACCTGGTCTGCTGGCACAAGCCTTTTAGTTGTACTTAAAAGTGCAGGAAAAAGATGAGTCAGCCTGTAAAGGGATAGTTTGGTTTCTTTAAAGTGAGGTTATATGAGATACTTATAGTCTGTTTATTACCTGGAGCAGGGTTCGCAGCAACATTTATTTTAGCCCCCTAAAGTGGCTTTAAGTGTACACTGTATTCAGATTATTTTCTATTCTATGCAGTCGCTCTATGCTCTCTTCAAGGCCACCAGACTCTGTTGACAAAAACAGTAATTTTACCTTGCAGAAAACAGGAGTTGGTGGTCCACCGTTGCCTTGATTGGGTAGATTATTTTTGTGATTGTGTGACTTTGGTGATCTAACATGTTAGTTTGGATCAGAAGTGACATGTTAAAACACCAAAGTCACACAAAATGACACAGCAACAAGTCCTGTGTTCTGAGAGGTAAAATGACTGTTTTTGTCAATGGAGTCTGGTGGCTCAGAAGGCAGCTATATTACTTCTTCAGTTTCCCATTGGCATGGGTTGTCTGATACAAAGGGAAAGTGATGAGAATATTCTAAATATAGCTTAACACCTTAAACAATATCGTTTTTTATTTATTTATTTATTTTAATTATCTGCAGCAGTTGACTGCTTTGCTTCTGTACCAGTCCTCTTGTCTTCTTCTCTATACAGAGCTTTTGCTGACTGTAAACTACTGTACATAAAACACTAACTATGGATAAATACCTTATACAACCCCACATCAAAGAAACCAAACAATCCGTTTAACTTCTGGACCATCTGGGCTCCATTTACATCTGGATAATGACATCTGGTATTAATAAGCGACAGTGTTATCTGGACTTCAGTGAGGCAGGCAGACTTGTCAGCAAGCTTGGTCAGGTCAAGGACAGCAATAAACTAGAAAGAGGAGGAGGAGGAAGTAGGTGACATTGTGCTGGAAAGATACAATCATGTTGTATGGATTACATTTACAACATGTCAGAGATTGAATAGACCACCTTGAGACGATATCTTGCCTGTAAAGTTTGACTTTCGTCCACAATGTTTTATTATCTATTGTTATATCTGCTATTTGTCTGTCACCCATTTTATTGCTTTCATATTTAAAGCGCTTTACGTTTGCATTTCTATATTTAATTCTAACTTTTAGTTTTTAGCTTCGCCAGCTGTTTTAGCCTCAGTATTCACACAATAATACAGTCATTACAAGAAGAGGTGGAATCTTGAAGGTGGTGGAAGTTAATCCTGACCTTTCCGCTGACATATTTTTTGTTTTTGTGTCTGCAGGGGGAACCGTTCACATGGTGTGTCGAAACAAGGGGCGAGCAGAAGCAGCCCAAAGTGAAATAGTGGAACAAAGTAAAAATCAGGTGAGGTTTTTATTAGACATTTGTCTGCCTCTGAAGTTTTCACTCTCGTAGCTGTTAAAGGAGTTCTACTGCAGGAGCTTTGTCCAAATGACGTAGATGTTTTCTGTTTTTTGTACTGACTGGAAACACATCTTAGACCAGTATGTCAGTGGTGGGTAGACAGTGACCAGTGGGTGAAATCTGGACTTCCAGCAAAAATATTTCACCCACTGACAGAAGCTGTTGTTTGTCTTTTTGCTTTCATAAAGACTTTGACATGCGTCTTCTCAAATCTGTTGAAAATTAAAATGCAAGCGTTTCCCATAATCAGGACCATGCCAAATCTAATTTCTCTGGACCTCCTCTGTGTCTGTGTCATTTTTTGGCCAAGAAAAGTTCAACACATGCTCCTAGAATTCTGGTTAAATGATCTTTTCTCAGATACAGACGTACAACAACCAGCTTCATGAATCAGTTGTGCTCTGTAATGAATCAAACGACTAAAAAAAAGCAAATAATGAATCATTCATGTCTGGAAAATACACCCACTGACCGCTGGAGCATATCCTGAGCATTATGACAACATTGATGTGTCAAGAAATAGTTTTAAATGAATCAAAAATGTAAATATTCATGAGCAGAAACATTTAGATTTTCTGATTTAGAATGAGAATTATTGGTAGTGGCACTGAAATGTTCCTCTGCCTTCTGATTTAAATGTAATTTGCTATTTGAGAGCAGCAAAGGGTCAAAATCAAATTAACTGTAAATTAATAGCGATAACAAACAACAGCATCTTTGATTTTTTTGACTCAGCTGTTCACTTTGTCCCCTGCCTTCACCCTGAGTCAGCTGCTATAGACTCCAGCCCCCCTGCGACCCTAGTGAGGATTAAGCGGTGTATAGATAACAGATAGATGGATGGATGTTCACTGCTGTTGACGCCTCACAAACTATTTGACAGAGACTCTCTATAGTATGAGGACAAATTAACTTTTAAATGAAGACATAGATGCACAAATATGTTGCAAATGATGCACGAACAGGCAGACTCACTGTGCACACAAGCCTTATACCTTATGAAAAGTGACATTCCGTTTTCTTTTGTTGGGTTCTTTTCCCAGAATGTTCACGTCCACATCGTTGACATGTCGAGCGCGAGGCAAGTGTGGGAGTTTGCGCAGAGCTTCTCACAAAACAACACACTTCATGTGCTGGTAAGTAACTGCTGAGCTGTATAACACACTGCAGGTTTTTAGTGTGATATGAATTACTTGTCATGCTCTCCAGATCAACAACGCAGGCTGCATGGTCAACCAGAGGGAGTTAACCGAGGAGGGTTTGGAGAAGAACTTTGCCACGAATACACTCGGTAAGAAATCTGAGTTGTAAGTAGGAGTTTTAAGATCTTTAGATAGTTTACTCTTTTGTTATTTATTGTACTATTATATACTTATTTATATCACTACACTGTATTTATATTTTTTATACTTCTAGCACCATTTGCTTTTTTTTTGCACCTAGAATTAGAATAAAACTTTATTAATCCCTTCGGTACAAGACCTCAGGGAAATTGCTACACCAAAAAAACAACACCAACATAAAATCAGCAACAAAACAGCAGCATTCAAAATTCAAATCAAATCAGCATTCAAATTCATGGGCTGGTCAAACCGGTTGAAGAAGGCATTCAGATTGTTTGCCTCCTCCACCGTCCCCCCTGCTGTTCTGGCTTTTGTTATTCACACCCTGCCAGACCTCCCTCATGTTGTTGTCCCTCAGCTGCTGCTCCACCTTCCTCCTGTAGGTGTCTTTGGCCTCCTTCAGGCACAGCTTCACCTCCCTCCGTGCTGCTCTGATTGCCTCCCTGTCTTTGTTCCTGAAGGCCACCTTCTTCCTGTTGAGTGCAGCTTTGACTTTGACCTCCTGTTTATACACACATTAAAAAAAGTACATCAAAATGTGACCAATCATTTGGGGCTTGACAGCTGGTCAATAGTCAGAAATGATCACTCTGTGCTGCTGAACTGACTTGTGTTTTAACTTTTATTTTCAGGTACATACATCCTCACTACTGCACTGATACCTGCACTGAAGAAGGCTGAAGATCCCAGAGTGGTGGGTGGAGTTTTTTTCTGTCAGATTTCTATACGAGCAGGAAAATATACACCATTTTTACGCATTCCTGAAAGCAAGAATAAACATTTGCTGCTGTGTTTCCCTCCAGGTCACTGTGTCGTCGGGCGGCATGCTCACGCAGAAGCTGAACGTGGCCGACCTCCAGTTTGAGAAGGGAACGTTTGACGGCACCATGGCCTACGCTCAGAATAAAGTAACAGAGATCTGACGTATAGATCTATATGGAAACTAATGCGTCCATGTTTATTAATGTGCTTCTGTGTTTTTCTCTGTGACAGAGGCAGCAGGTGATTCTGACAGAGAGGTGGGCCGCTCAGCACAAAGAGATCCACTTCTCCTCCATGCACCCAGGCTGGGCCGACACACCAGGTGGGCTGAAGAGAGATTTATTGTTTGAGCTGCAGTTTGGTTTAAGGATAAATAGTGTGAACAGTATAAACAGTATTACCACTATGAGGAGATATATACAATATGGATACAGGATGAACACTATAAGCAGTGTGAACCATGGACAGGTTTCAATCTAGACTAAGACTGAGCTTTAAGATCAAACAGTACGTTTGTGAAGATTCTCAGTCATCCAGGTCATGGTTATTCTTATAGATTAATCGTAGCAACTGGAATTGCTTGAGTTTCTTGAAGACGTTTCACCTCTCATCCAAGAGGCTTCATCAGTTCTCCCAACTAGTCAGTCAGAACTGATGAAGCCTCTTGGATGAGAGGTGAAACGTCTTCAAGGAACTCAAGCAGGTCCAGTTGCTACGATTAATCTAAAGGAATAATCATGCAGTACATTGAAAGTTTATTCTGTGACTCACACCTACATGAGATGCGATTTGCGCTTTTGTTTTTCCTCTCTGCAGCCGTCCAGTCGTCCATGCCTTCATTCCACGCTAAGATGCAGGGCAAGCTGAGGACGGAGGCCATGGGGGCAGACACGGTGGTGTGGCTCGCTGTGTCTCCAGCTGCCACCAAGCAGCCGAGCGGACTCTTCTTCCAGGGTCAGAAAAACCTTTGTGAAGTATCTGTCAGTGTTTTGTGAGTCAAAGCTTCGCTCGTGGTGCAGAAATGTGATGAGATTGTGCATCACATTGGCTTAGGGTCAAACTCTGCAGATCTATTAGGCATTTTAGCCTCTTTTATTGAAATTTATTTTTAAAAGTAAACTGTGCAATATGCATTTGGTCAAAGCAGAAGCAGCAAAGGTGTGTTGAATAACTTCAAGTGTAACACAGCCATCATTAATGCTCGTAATCTTCTAACATCGACCTCATTTTATGGACTTTTAGCGTAGTAGCAGATCCAAATAGAAAATTGTGGGTGAACAAGAATCAACACTCTCAAAACAAGGATCTTGACGTCTCTTTATTCAGCAGTTCACAGAATCTCACACAACACGGGGTTATGAGAGGAGTTCCCCTCGTAAAAGGACTGTCAGTATTTATATTCTTCTTATCATGCTACCTATGGAGAGGCAAGTTCTTTCTGTTCTGGACAGTTTGTCTCGTCATGGGAGGACTGCTTTATGTTTTCTCTTTCACCCTGCGTAGGACTGTATCAGCAATTTCCCTCTTATCCGTCACAGGAGTGGAGCTCTCTAAGAATTCTCAAAGACTGTCGGGCACCTGCAAAACAGAAAAACAATCCTCTGTTTTGTTCCATCAAAAATATTACAACAGAATAACTGTAAGACCAAAATGACTCACTTCATTTGGAAAGTAACATCTTCAAGTCTCTGTGGCTAAAACACAACCTATACGTCTATGTGATACGTCATATTTGAATTGCAGCAACTGGGACGTGCTTCATGCCAGAACTTTGCAAATCACCACATATCTTCTACATCTTGTAAACCACACCTGCATGAAACTCCAGACCTCCTTGCCCAACTTCACAGGAGCTAAATGGAGTTTTTGTAGGCTCCAACATGGCGACCTGTGTCTTTCCTGTTTTGACAAGTCAAAATGTTGGCTGTCAAACAGGTCTGTAGTCCTGCAAACGTTCCCATATCATTAGTAATTGTGATATTTTATTGGTTATCTAGAATTTATTGTTGTTAAAGTGGATCTAATTTCATCCTGTTAGTTCATTTTATGTACATGTAAGCACGCTGCTAATGACAAAATAGTACATTATTCTAAAATAATACGAACATTCAGTTTCCTCATATTTGAACAGCTGTAAATAACTCTGTTACCTACTACATACAACACGAGTTATTTATAATTTGTTGCTAAAACTTCGATTGCAAAGAATATAATAATCAGTAGGGGGATTCATATGTATCTGCTGGTGAACCTTACAGACATGCAAAGCTATGTGGAGGAGTGACTGTGATGATGAGTGACTCTATAAGAAGGATAGTTCATCTTTCTTCATGACTTTTCTGTCATCAACTCCCTGAATATATGAGATTTTTGTGGTTTGGTGTCCCTCTTGTTTCATTTATTTCCATTAAATTTCCTTCCAGATCGCACGGCGGTGGCGACACACCTTCCCCTCGCCTCATCTCGGTCCACGCCTCAGGAGGAGGAGAAGCTTCTGGCTGCACTGGAGGAGTTCGCTCAGAAATTCAAACCTTAATATTTCTGTCAATTCAAAAACCGAGCACTCCGTACTAATCGCCACGAATGTTTACATAATCATGGTTTTTTTCTATGAAGATTATGCTTTCAACTGATACCTCAATGGGCAGCATTTAAATACAAACTTTATATTCTGTATTATTTACAGCAACAACATAAATGATTGCATATTGTATTTATCAAGGGGGGGTTATATAAATGTGGGTAAAGAAAAGAAAAAGAAGAAAATTTGTATGATAATTTGAGTAAAAAAAAAACATTAAATAGATTGATTTTGTGTCCGTCTGTTTTTGTATTTACTGTATTCCAGGACAACATGTTCAACTCCTAGACTGAGTTTTGTATCCAGCCTCAGGTCAGGTTTAATTTTAGTTATGTTCAGATGTATTATTTTACACAAACTTCATTTTCTGTGTCAGTCATCTGCTTCCAAGTGTGTTTTTGCACTACAGCTCAAAAGTTAAACAGAAGGCCTACAAAAAGTATTCATCCTGCTTGGAAGTTTTCCCTTTCAATGCTTTTTGACGTTGAATGGTGGTCCATATAATTTGGATATTTTGACTTTTTATGTCAAAGTGAACAAAGAATTCTACAAAAGTAATGTCAATTACTTAAAAAATACGTAGTATGTGTTTTCATAAGTATTTACCCTCTTCAAAGAATGCTGTTTGGCCAACTGTGAAGCATGGTGGTGGCAGCATCGTGATGTGGGGATGCTTCCCAGTCGCAGGCCCTGGAAGGCTTATGGAGATTTAGGGTAAAATGAATGCAGTTTAAGAAGAAAGTTCCCTCATTATTGCTGAATAAGTATTAACAGCAGTATTAAGAACAATTTCCTGAGCTTGTAAAGTTGTGACAGAAAAAAATTATCCAATCAATCTTGACTTGACATGTTGTGGAGTTTCTACAAAATATTTCACAAACACAAAATTGTCTGAAGTCTCAGTGTGAAAGCCATTTAGTGTAATTCTAAATTCAGTGTTTTGTCTAAGTGGGGGGAAAAAAACAGGTATATTACTTACATCTGCTAGTTCCAGCTACCAAAAAGTGCACATTTGCCACTTTTCTGTTTTACATTAACTGAATAACTTTAGAGTTTAGAAAAGGAAAGAAAATAACTGGGTAATTATTAATTGTTTTTAACATTTTATTAGAAAAAAATTGACTTTGAAGACTGCTGCTCTGTTGACAAAGAACATTTCATTGGGACAATTTGGGGAATTTCAGGCTATTAGAGTGACCGTTTATTTTCAGAACTGAGTTACTTATTTACTGCAAATGGAGGCAACCCTCTCAAGGATCATAACAACACATAAGTCCAGTTATAGAATAAATTTCCAGATGTTTTCAAACTCTAGCCGGTCAGTGTTATGAAGAATAACATTGACATTACTCATAGTACTACTTTCTGTGACATGAAGAACTGGAAGCTGCAGAGGGAAGTGCGCAAATATACAAGCGGTGAAGACAAACTGTTCCAAAATGATGGTTTGGTTACACATGGAAAGCTGCACTGCTGTCCAACAAACACAATTCTGACACAACTCTGATGGAGGAGGCCAACACCTCCCCTTTTAATTAGTCATTTATACACAAAGTTACATGAATGGACACTGAAACACACAACAATCCCTGTTTTCTTTCCTGCAACAGAAAAATAGAGCACTGGCCACGGATGGATTTAACCTCATCTTGTGAGTTTTTGTTTATTGAACATCTTGGTATCTCCTGTGTAGTCTGGGTTTTTATATATTAAAGGACTACACCAGCGATTTTGAACATTTTTGCCCATTTCAATCACATGCACTTGATAGGATATTCGGCATCTACTTTGTAAAACAAGCTGCTGCGTCTCAGCTCTTTGGGATTTTTTTACTTTTCTTCCAGGCAGCCATCATCTCACATACATTTCAGCACAGAGTGACAATACATTGGCTTGTCATGCAGTTTAAACTAGGCAGCAAAAATGAAACGTACATCATTTGAAGTAACGGCGCTAAAAAAAAAAAACACTGGTATGGACCTTTAAGCTCTTAGTACCCACTGACTCACATTTATTCACCAGGGGCTGGATATGTACCTTCCTGGGTAGCTGTGAAAGTGCAAGACAAACTTTTTCGAAGAACAGTCAAGCCTACAAGTTTTTATTTCTCCATTGTTGGTGAAAATCTTCAATGTAATCTTTTTTTTAGTTTTTATTTTTTTTAATCCAAAAAAAAATAAATCAAATAGCTTTGGATGATACTCAGTGGGGTTTGAACATTAAGGATCTGATCATAAAGCACAAATGTGATTATAAAAAGTCTTTTCACAGCAGCGGTTTATGAGATATTTTTGCTTCTTGATTCCAGTGCATCGACAATAACGTCATTATACAGTATTGAGACTTTTAAAAAAAACAGTAACAATGAGAACAAATCAAAGCAAACTGCTGTTAGTTTCCTTTCAGTCATAGCACTGCTGTCTGCTGCTGCTGCCACTGATTAGCTTGATGATATGTGCTTTTTCATGTCAAAAACATTTCAATCACACGAACAGAATAATAATAAATAATATGATAAAACTGCTCCACTGAAGGAAACATACACATTTTTTTAAAAGATCAGCGAGCAGTCTGATTGGTTAAGGGACTGATTACAGAACAGGACAGGTGTACTTTGCACGCCTGTGGATTTAGACAAACACTGTGTGTGCTTAGACAAATATAACAAGAGTTTTTAAAACCATCAGTGTCCCCTGTATTCGACTAACATCTTAAGCGTTTAACGTCCTGCTTAAAATGTATTTAAACTGACAAATATTGTATTAAAGATATGTGAGAGTGCACGCATCAAACCAAAGGAGCTGCGCTGCTGCTTCAAATCTCAATTTTTAGATGTCGTCTGCATCAATTTCTACACATTTCCCCAGATTCTAGCCTGACATATTTCTGTCGTTGAAAACTCCTTAAAGACCAATCTGAGTAGGTTTTGCATGATATCCAATATTCTGGACTATGTGAATCCACATCAGTGGCTTCCAGTAGAGCAGCCTCACATTCAAACTAATTTTAGAGGCCTCCATGTTTACACACCTGACCTACAGTGAGTGGTTTTAAAATTACATGAACTACCCTGTCTTTTTTTTTCTCTTTTCTTTCCACAACCCTCTTACCTAAATTTAGTTCCCTGCCTCGTCTCAAAAGGCCACGTCTTCCCCCGAGTGGTCGGCGCGAGGTGGAACTCGAGTGAAGACACTTAATTAGGTGACATCCAGAAAATTACACGAGCGGTTTCCCCAGAGTCACGTGGTTAAAAGTTCTCTTACTCAGATGACACGGGTCAGAGTGGAATATTTTTAGAAAGCAGATGATCTCTTTGCCTCTTGAGCATGATAACAAGAACACACAGTGTGAGCGATGTGAAGCACCTGAACCCAGGATTACTGATGGTATGAGCGCCATCTGCAGGCAAGACGGCAACATCTAGTGTAAACGCAAGAGCCACCTGCAAGAGACAACTACACTTTTCCTTTTTTTTTTATTAACCGGGGCTGCTGGGTGTGTTTGTTTGGCAGGTTTTATACATTTTAAACCTGTTAAATATTTAACTGGTTGGAGCTCATGGTGAGCATGCTCTCTGCTCGGAGACACTTCTGAGTGCCACCCTGTGTCAACAACTATTAAAAGGAGAGTCCTAACTGCATTACATCTGCCCTATAAGGAAAAAAAAGTATTTATGTTGAAAAGAGCAAAATAAAAATTTGTAAAAATGCAATAGATTGAAAAATACATTTAAGAAAATAAAAGAAAATAGGTTTGCAGGACAAATATGCAGAAGAAAGCAACAGGAGACAATTAGGGCAGTTAGGAGGCTATGTTTGCAGCTGAATATTTTAACAGTTAATATTATATAGTATATAGCATAAGGCAACTAAACTGTGGCTCTGTTTGACCGTCACAGGGCTTAAAATATTTACTGCTATGTGTTTTTTGCCTGTTTGAATACACCTAAAAAAAACAATTATTAAAAATGTAAGATTTGTTGTTTGGTATCAGTTAGAGGACCTACTGGAGGTCAGTGTGCTCATTGGGATTTTGGCAATAACATGCACTGCTAAATGTAATATAACACAAAGAAAATAACACAAAGAATGTTAAAAGGCAGCTGAAAACATTTGCAGGTGGCTCAGGTGTCAGTTTTTACTTCTCTTGCCTGCTGAGGCAAACATTAACCTCTAACATGAATCTGATCAGTCAATGATCAAGCAGCTCCTTCACGTGGAGCATCTGCAGCCTGCTAAAAAACAAAATACATTTGAGTTTGTCAGTGCGTTAAGGTCCAGTTTAATGAGGTGCTTCACATCTGAAAGGTTCAGATTTGACGGTACTCGTGGGTTTTCAGTATAAAATTGGCAAGGAATGCATGAAAATTAAGTAAATAAGGTGTGTCAAGGACTTTCAAATGCCTTCACCTCTTCCACACAGTAAAGACACACACATACAAAGAGCCCCCCTCCCACACAGCCTATCAGCACTCTTCACACAAGCAAACACGACTCTCTGTTACCTTGTTTTAACCAAGGCCTGGACAGTTCTCATTTTTCACTGGCCCGCAGTGCGCTCACTGTAATTGTGCAACAGCCGCTGCCTGTTGTTGAATAACTGTTAAATATTATCCAGATGACACCGATACCGCCGGAGATCCTTCACTCTTTCTCCCACAAGCGCGACTGCCGCCACGAAACCATCACAGTTTGCCGAACAGAGATTCCTGCTGACTGCTGGCTGGTTTGTCCACAGACCTCAGGACACCACAGGAGTCATGTCCCACAGCTGCAGATAAAGACGAGACACAAATGATGCTCGTGAACCAGCTGCTGAAAGTTCAGCCAGAGATGAGAAGTAAAAAAAGAGGAGCTACAACAGATGACAAACTGTGGGGAAAAAAAAAGCTAAATATCCATAAAATAATAACACTTCTAGCTGATATGTTTCCAGTAAGTGTAAGTAAGTAATAAACACGCAGTTTTGATTTGGAAATGTTTGACAGTTTTGGCCCGTTTTTTGTTTTAGTGTAAATAAAAGCTTGGTTCTGTGAATTTGATAGATATTATCTGTAATTTAACAAAACAGGGAAAATCTGTAAAATGACAGTTAAAAAAAGATTTACTGTTTTGTAATCCTGAAAGAATGTTTTTTAAATAGGGCCAAATATCTGGTCAAATAATGATATATGTAGCTGGTTTAAATATGGTTAAACTGTAATTTTACAGTCAAGAACAAATCACCATTTTTTAAAATACACATTTTTGATCTGGACATCATTTACAGTTTGGGCCTGTTTGTTTTAGGGTTAACGTATAAATTATACTTTTTTTCTTGTGATTTAAATAGATATTATCTGTAATTTATCAAAACATGGAACATCTGTATATTTAAATTCTTCCTTCAAGTAGCACCAAATATTTGTAAGATTACAATATTTTTTTGGATACTGTAATTTCATAGTAAAAAAAAAAAAACAAATGGACTTTTGATGTGAAGTATTTACAATTTTAGCCTGTATTTTTTCAGGTTAATATGTAAAATAATGGATTTTTTTCTATGATTTTAATATCTGTAATTTCAGAAAACAGGGAAAATGTGTTAAAGAACGGCAATATTTTTTAAAATTACAGTTAAAATTTTTTTTTAAACTTTTATTTTTTGTGTTGTATCTGACTTTGCAGGGATTTTAACATATTTAACCCTAACCCTATATATACACACATACACACACGGTGCACCTACATGGCCCACTAGCCTTCATTAGCAGCTTAATTCAGCCTGAACCCTACTTAAATTTACAAAAACTGGTCTAATAAATACCTTTTAGGCAAAATTACAAACTCACCCTGCTCAGGTGTGAACTCACTAAACAAATCATGTTCCTGTGTGTGCTTGCATGCCTTATCTGAGACTCATGAACACAACAGACACTGCTTGTTCCCATCCAGACCTTGATAACCTTGTCGGTGCCAGAGGTGAGCAGATTTCCAGTGGTGGGCTCGTACTGCATGTAAACAATGCTGTGCTTGCTGTCGTGGAAGGTGGCCGTGGGCGCTCGGCTGAAAGACACAAAGGGAGCGCCGGTGACTTAAGTGTGCGAGCGCTGAGGAAGCCGAGAGCACAAAGGGTCAGTATACGGCGGCGACAGAGGCCGATTGTTACTCACTCCTCGTCGGTGATGGACTCGTGGCAGCTGTCACACACACGCACCTCGAACTCGAAGCCCATGAGGGGGATGGTGGAGCGTTTGGACGAGCATTTGCCGCACACCGCCTGGCCGCACTTCCTACAGTGGTGCTGAGTGATAAAGGGGGACTTGAACATTTCAGTTTTCATGAGCAGCAGTCTCACTTCTCAGCAACTGAAGCTGAGTTTTAAAAAACAGTGGGAGCAGCTCAAATAAGTGGATCGAAGTCACCATTCAGCAAGTGAGTCTCAAGGTACGAGGTGGTGTTTTTGCAACAGGTTGCGCCTCTTCCCAACGCTAGACGCTTGATTAGCTGGCAGTGTATAAAAACAGTACATTAACATATGTTTCTGAAAACGTTTGAGGTGAGAAATAAGCCACGTAGCTGCTAAATGTGTCGTCATTTTAGATCAACAATGGTTAGATGAACACTTTTCAGGTGTTTCCAGATGCATCGAGTCATGCAAAAACTTCAACTTTATGCAGTTGAGGAGTGGCAAACATGACACTTCTTCTCTCAAAACACAAAGCTGTGCTACCAGAATGTCTCGCACAGCCACTTACATACATAGAGAATAAATGGGTGGTGCTGAAATGATGAATCCTATGGACATGCACCATCCTGTCTTGGGTATTAAGGCCTGAGTCGAGTCAAAGTCCTGAATTTTTGTGTTTCTAGTGCTGAACATGTACTCTATACCAAATGTAATCCTATTTAAAATTTAAAAACAGCAACCATTAGAGGAGTACATTTCCAAAAATAAAACTTTTTACATCTCTATTTATGACTGTGCAATAAACTTTACAACAACTAAACACAAGCGGATGATATGTACCTCACTGTGCCGTCCCTCTGACACAGTTACAGTCTTTCGTAACTTCTGATGTGCTTGTTGTTTATCATACACTGTTCACATCTGAACGTGATCATGTGATGTCTCATCTGTTGTCTGTCTGCTGATCTGGTCCAACAAACACACCTCTACCTCCAGCGTGTGCGATTGGCTGCTGTTGGACTGATTCAAAGTTTTTCTGTTTGCAGGAAAATAAAGAGCTGATGCTGTTGCACTCTGGACTCCACTGATATGAAGTCATTCCAAGTCTAAAAAGGGGACGTTCATGCGCATTATTACTTATTTAGTAGCATCCTGATTGGCTGGAAGTTAACCGGGGGGTCACAAGTCCAGCAAAGCGCAGTAGGTGGTCACAAATCGTGCAATATTTATCACTGACTTCTAACACAACTCGCTGCAAGTCAGAAGGGAATCTGTGCTGTCTGGAAAGGTGGATTTAGAGAGGTATAAGAAACTTTTTGTAAATAAATATCATAGTTATGTTTAAAATAGAACCAACTGTTGGTGAAAAAGGCCAATATAGTGTCAGATCTTTAAATCTACTCGACATCTTATGGCCTTTCTTGTGTTTTTACTGATGATGTTTGTGTCATTTGCAAGGAAGCTGTACATTATCAGTTGCATGCAGTGCTACAAACTGGGGCTTGTTGAGAAAAATCAAGATCTTTGTGGATTTTTTTTTCCTCCTCAAGTGCAATAAAACAGAAACACGTCTCTCCTGTTGTGTTTGGTTCCTGCTAAACAATGTCTCAAAAGATTGCCTTGCACACGAAAAATGGCCATTACCGTAACCATGAACTGTCTCCTCCACGTACACACACACACTTGAAATGAGTAACCACAGCGTAAAGCTGCTTCTGAGAATAAGGCAATAAAACAGCCACAGAATGTTTCCTCAGCCCGAGTGTGGCAGAAGTGAAGAGTTATGTATATTTCTTTGTGGGAAAGCTGTTTGGAAGGAGGTTTGGGTGTGGTGGAGCGACACATCACTGAATCTGCTTCAGCGGGGCAGCTGACATCTAAACTGTGATGTGAGTTGTTGTGTGTGATGATGTGTAGTAACAACACTTTTCATACAGAAGTGAAAAGAATGAGAGTGTCAGGTGTGTACCTGTCGCAGGCCGATCTTCTTGCTGTCCCACATCTGTTTGAAGTTCCAGAAGAAAGGCTGCTCACACTTCTGACAGGAGTCACTGTCCAGCCATTCTGGGGTCTGTGCACACACACAAAATCCAAATATAGATATTATATTATGTTCCTTTTTAAAATGACATCTCCTAATGTCAAGACAAACAATGGAAGACATTTTTTAATTGAACATTTTAAACCCACAAAGATATTTTTCATTTCATTTTTGGACTTTGAAACAATTCCTTCACACTGGAGAACCAAGAAGTCAAAGTTTTAATTAGCTTTGTAGTTATTGTTGAAAAATAAAGCCTGTTTTCAGAAACAGAGTAATGAGAATATGAATATTACTCTCATGTCTGTGCTAAAATCCCTCTCCAGTTGTTAAATAACACCTCTAAAACTCATCTCTGTGTATCTGCGTGTCATGTAAATTAAATTCTTAGATTATTTTTCCTGTGAAATAATCCCTGAAATGTCTTACATGTAACTCTACACTGTTGCTTCCTCTATAATGTGCAGATCTATGAAGGTCCCACCTGTATCTCCACCCACTCCTCCCCGTGTGCTGCAGCACAAACCTTTTAAATTCTTTATGTTCTTATCATTTATTTATTTATTTTCTTATGTATTTTACTCTTTTAATTTTCATTTTATCTTACATAGGGCCTTTTATACTTCAAAGTTTTTAGTTTTTAACTCCAGTGTTTCCTTCCTTTCCTTCCTCCTCCACACTGGGGGCTGTGTCTGGTCTGCTGTTGGGGGTGCTGTCTGCGGGTGCCTTCGGTCTGGCTGGTTGGGGGGGTCCCCGCCTCGGTGTGGGGGTCCCCATGTCTGTTGGTTTCAGGCGGGTCCGGGTGTCGGCGCCCCCAGTGGTCATGGTCTGCGACTGTGAGTGTGTGTATGTGTACACAGCTGTATGTGTACATATACACATGGAGGGTAGGAGGGACGGGTTTTCTTGTCTTTGTTTTCTTTTTTCTTTCTTTGACAATGTTTTTAATGCTGTAAAGCACTTTGCATTGCTCTATGTATAAAAAGTGTTGCATAAATAAAGTTGATTTGATTTGAAACACACCAGCTCACCTGTGACTCTCAACAGACTCTGTAAAACTACTCTACACTAGACAATGGCAAGTTGTTGTATTGGATAAATTCATGTTAGAACTGGAAACTTATTCTAAAGAATAATAATGATGCAGAAAGTCCAGCCCCTCCAGCATATTAACACTACAACATGGGCATGCTAACAAGATAAAAAGCTTGATTTTCCCCTAATGGAGGTCTCTGAAGTCTTATTACACAATGGATCTTATTTGTTTCTTTTCCTACACCAACATGTGATAAAGAGAAGAAGTGTGAAATGCCAAAGTCTAATCATAGATGAGGTTACGTTCTGGCACAATTTGTTTAAACAACAGTTTATTCATCCACTCGGAACTAAACCGAGTAGGATTCAAACAGGGAGTTTGGACACAGGCTTGGACAGAACCATACCTGGAAAACGTGCTGCTACAATAACGCTGTTATTTTTCCCCAAGAATTAGTAACACTACCCCCCACAAACCATTTGTCAGTTATTTTCACATTTCTGATTATAGATGAAATTTAAAAGTAGTTACAGCATGTTAATGAGGTGTACAGGTGTGGCAGCTGTAGTTTTAAACTTGGGACAGAGCCAGGGAAGCTACTTCTGTTGACCTTTCACTCGTCATTTTTACTAATCTATAGTGCATTAAAGGTTATCCTCAGTTGAGCAAAGATCGTGGTGAAGATTTAGCATGTTTTTGAAAAATACATCATGAATATTATCGTATATTCTGATGAAACTTAGCTTTGAATCCTAAGCGTGGGAGGAATCAACAAAAAAACTAAAGCAGTGTTACCTCTGTCTTTAGTTTGTCTTCCATTTGTCATTCAGCATCTGGTTAGCATTTGTTATTTGATGTTTGATATGCCAGCTACGAGGGATTGTTTGGTGAACAACAACAACCTCCTGATGTTATTTTAAAGCTCGCCTTGAGGGATGTCAGCTTGAACAGAAGCAACGACTCAGAAAATAAAATTGAGATGAGAATTTGGGCTAAATAACAGAGACTAGGGAAAAACAGAATGACGTGGAGGCAGAATAAAAGTGACTCTGGATAAATAAAGAAGCAATTACTTCCTAACTAACTGTTTGGGGACTAGCACAGACGGAGAAGCTGAAGCTACGCTGTGTGTGTTTGCGGGACAGAAAATCAAAGAAAACTCTGCTAATCAGGTGACCTTTCAGGGATCTAGAGTAGAGGGAGAGCAAACATCAGCAGTTTATCCTGCACGCTGATCTGTGTCACAGTATGTCCTCCCCGTCCTCTCTCACCTCTTGCCGTGTTACATCCATGTTCCAGATGACGATGCCTCCATCTGCGCTGCAGGAGATGAGCTGACGGGTGTGTGAGGCGTAGCACAAACCCTGGACCTTGTCACTGTTGGGAACACACACACACACAAAACCGGTATTAGACAAGAGAGGAAGCAAGTTAAAAAATACACAACGTGAGGCTGGTGTCTCGGTATGTTGACAAGATTGTAAGTTGACGATTGCTGATTGTTTCCTGAGTTTTCTTGAAACTTCAACTTCAAGAACCAAAACAGCCGTCACATACAATGTGTTTCTTAAATTTAAACAGACAGAATAGACCCACTGTTGGTGTATAAACCTCACAGCAGTCTTGCAGCTGATTGCTTCTCTGTTGATCAAGTAATCGATCACCTGACCAATCGTTCAGAAGAGATTTTACTATACACATTTCGTTTGCATTTTTAAGATCAGTAAGGTTTTAACTTTTATCTGAATGACAGAAATTATAAGCATCCAGTGGAAATACAAGAAATAAATCAGTCTCAACGAAAGCAAAACAAGAATTCAAATGTTGTCACTGATGACTCATGAGGAGACAGAAAACTCTTTTCTTGTTTGTCTGTCAATGTTTTCCAACTTCATTCTTTGTTCACCAGCAGTGCTACTAAACTTATTTCTCTGATATACTTGCTTCTCATTCCACGTCTCAAGCCCTAAAATCTGTAAATCTCTGCTTTATACCCTTCTCTTGCTCCAACTGCAAAACAAAAGCTGATTTGCTGTTTCATTCCCAACTGGAATCATCTTCCTCGAACAAGATTGTCTGAATCTTTAAGCTGCTTTAAGCAGCTCCTAAAAAAAACAACTTTATAGGCAACCCTTTTCACAGACTTCCATCTCTGTCTAATGTTTGGTTTGTCCGTCTGTCACTGTATTGTGCTTTATTTTGTAATTTATTTCAATGGTGTTTGGGTTTTTTGTGTGTGTGAAGCACTAGTAAGTATTATATACATATGAATAAAGCTTTACTTACGTACCAGGCGCCAGAAAATGTGCACATACTCTTTTTGTAAAGATGTGTCTGAATACACTGCTGCTACAGACTCCATGTGTGAAAAGGGCTTATTGTTAAAGTGATGCCATTCTATCAGTCAAATTTACATTATGCAAATTTTCTCCAGTAAAAGGGAGCATTGGCACTAACTGAGGAGCAAATATCAATGAAGACAAGTTCTCTCTGTTCATAGTTTGACACTTCCTGTGCATTTGAATGACCTTTTTATTTCTGTGGCTTAAATAATGACCATTAGTCTAATTGATCTAAATTCTCACAACAATAGCATCATTTATTACAGAATATAGATTATAACAGCCAAAAACCTCCAATGGGTGTGCCCAAGCAGAGATAGGAATGTAGAAGATGTACTGCTGCAATTCCTGTTGAATTCTTAATTGCTGTACACTAAGTTATGTTCTGACATTAAACTGAACGCATTTTTATCGTCTATAAGAACAGGAGAATCATCTCTTTAGCAGCTTTGAACCGTCTCTTCCACAGTATTTTATTGTCAATTAAAAATATGTTTGTGCTTAGAAAAGGTGATAGCATTACAGCTTTTTTTATTGCAGTCCTCTTTAGAAAGCAGAACACTGTTGCTGCTGCTGCACTCTTTATGTTAATTTGACAACATTCAATTTGGACTTGAGTCGCGCTGGAAGTGTAACAGAAATGTCACCGGGGCCAACTTAGAAAATTACTCTGGGGATTATTCAAACATGACACCGACGAGTAAAAATGCCATCACATTAACATAACAAGGTGCACATCTAACAGAGGCTTAGTTTGGTAGATAGAGACTTGAATATTCCCTCTGAGGCAGTTTGGTTTGCGAGGAAAGGAAAAGAACGACCTTTCAACACAATAAAACACTGAACTAGTATAGTATAAACGGTATAACGACCTCAGTAATGTGCAGAAAAACACAATTACAATCCATCAGCACAAAACAGATGAGTATACTCTAATTGCAACTCATCGATATTGTTCATTCAGCTGAATAATTGCGGAAGTCGCAGGAGCGCTGTGAGTCTTACTTGTGTCCTTGCAGTTCGATAGCGGTGCCTTTGCGCCCGCCGATGTCCCACATGATGATGGAGTGGTCTGAGCTTCCGGAGAACAGCACCCTCTGGCCTGGGTCCCAACACAGCGCCGTCACATTACCTGGGGGAAACGCACGACACAAGCACAAATAAGTGACAACAACAAGGTCAAACAACATGCACCAGTAATCACATTACTTTTGCATGTAATGCAGTAATACAACATATTAGTAATCCTACATTCTGTAATCACATTACATTACAGTTACTGCTTGCATTCTGAGGCAGTGTAGCCTACTGCGAGTGTCACCTTGATTCAATTAGACATGCAACTCAGCATTGCTCTCGCCACAGCATTTTTCTGTGAAGTTCTCGTTTTTCTTGATAAAAGTTCTCTTTATTCTTTATAAAAGAGCATAAAAGAAAAATCTTGTGTATGTTCCCTCTATTAGGGAAGGGATTCATGCTGACATGTAAGCTTTAATGTTAAATTCTTTGCAATGAATCTCAGGTGATGCAGAAGAATAACAAATAGTGCAGCAGATCACTTTCTACACGGATTAAGTAGGTAAAGTAATGCATTACTTTTCTGAGTAATGATCTCAACGTTAACAAGAACACAGATCAGCAGGCTGGATCCTGTGATATAGAATATCCTCGCCGCTCTGAGCATAGCTCACAAATTATGTAAGACCTGCTGATCGTGCTATCCAAACTGATTAATTTAGGATCTGGGTTGGTGTGCCTGAGGCTTTTGTTCACCCTGGGTCTCATAAGACTTGTTTGATTTAGTTAAAAAAAAAAAAAGAAAAAAGAAAGCAACAAAAGAACTGTGTTTCCTCTGTCAATGATTTCAGGATGAAAAGATCATTTGCTGGACTCATTTCCTCATAAATGCCATCTCCTTGCATGTCATATCTTTTTACTGCTTGTCTCAAAAACCTTTTTGTTAATTCAAGCTCTGTTTCTAACAAATTCAGATGTTTCTTTGTCCTCAAATTCAAATCACTAAGCTGCAAAAAGAAAAAAAAAACTTTTCCAATTGCCTCCTTCACTGAAGCAGATTTCCCACTGACACCAGTTAAAGATGTTTCTGGAAAATTCAAGACCACAGGGACTTAATAGTTCTTAAAGTCATTTTTGAGCTGGCTCAGTAAATCTGCAACCCGCCTGAGGACACAAGAGTTAAATCTGCGTCAAGTATCATGTGAATTTAATGAATCTACTAATATAGCCTGGTGGTTAAAGGAAGACTCCTCTAAATACAGAAGAAATATTTTAACTTCCCTCCCAGGAAAAGCTCAACTGCAAAAAAAAAAAAAGATGTAATTATTTTATTAGCAGGTCTTATTTTGTTATTTTAAAACCACATTTAACACAGTTTTGTAAAGCCAAGTGAACAGATAACAACATAATTACCAAAAAATACTATATTGTAAAACATTATATATATAAAATAATGTCAGTTTCTGTGATTTGCATTCAGTAAGAGCTTCACTTTCTCGTATCAGCAGAAGAAAGCAAGCCCACAAGGAAAAGATGCTCTTTTATTCTCACAGACTAATATTTATAAGCCTTGTGAGAGTATGAAAAGAGAACAGGATACAAAAATTATCCAAAATGTAGCTGGAAGGCAATTTCTGTTACCAATTATTTTTATTTGTTCCAGACAATCTCTGACTAAATGTGCAAAAACCGATGTGAGGGTTATTCAGTGATGTTGGAGCACAGATAGACGCTGCAAGAATTCAGAGTTTCATTATTGTACTCAAGCTGCAGCTAACAATTATTTACATGATGATTATTCTGCTGATTATTTTATTTATTGCCAAATTCTTGTTTTTAGGCTCTAAAATGCCAAATAAATAAATAAATCTCCAAGACAATTCCTCTGAACTCAATGTGGCATCTTGAAATGTTTTAAAAACTAAACTAAAACCAAAGAATTTCAGTTTACAGTGACAGAAACTCTTGTGTCTGTGTGATGTACCGGTGTGTCCTTTGAAGGTGGTGACCAGGCTGCAGCTGTCCTGCTCCAGCTTCAGGATGGTGACCTGACCTGACTGGTCGCCTACGAAGGCGTGTCTGGTCTCCACATCGAACCTGGATTGAGGTCAGGGTTAAAGAAGAAGAATCTGGCGATAGAAAACAACTGATGCATTCATTCAGACTCTTTAACTGTTCCTGAGCCAGCAAAATATCCAATACAACACCCAAGCTACATGTTTTACAGCTCAGGAAATTCCAGCGCGAAACAGATTGAACAGTGTGTAAACTATTAGATGTAAGGCTTGAGTGGAAGATGACTGCAGAGGCAGCAGAGGAGTAACTGTGTGTCAGTGGATGACTCTCAGCTGTTCCACCGGCTTCAGTCGGAGGCCTACTGACCTGGTTAAGTCACTGCTCATTACAGCACTGTCCACACAGTAACATAGGGAAAAATAAACGAGCGACAACATAATTATCTCATCCTTTTAAATCTTCCTTCTGAAATACCAATCCAATTATGGACACAATCAGAGTTTTCAATTGTCAGTCTCCTTCTGGAAACCTGATATTATGTGTTGTGTGTCATTACCGGTGAGCACAGATGAGCTGATTTGCAATAAAAGACTCTTAAAAATCTCGATTGTTGTTCCTCCTCCAAAATCTTGCTGCAAAGCAATCACATGCTTATCAAGTGTGAATTTTTGGAAAATGACTAACAACAATAATAATAATAATAATAATAATGATGATGGAAAACCCCTTTTAAAAGGTTTTACCAGAATAACATCACCAACAACAATCAACAAGAGCAGCAGGTTTATTGAATTACATCCTTTCTGTATTCAGGAGGGTGAGCTTTCAGTTTGAGAGCATTATTTCTTTATTTCAGGTTCAGATTTCGTAACACTTTCCCCTGAAAATCTTGCTCTCTCTCTCAAATAAGCCCCTGCTTGGGTGCAAATTTGCTCTGCCCCTGTTTAAAACTGTTTGCACTTAGATATACTACTGCTGTACAAATAGCCTGTGCTTCAGTTTCAGCCTGTCTCCTCACATTCGGACTGCTTCAGTGGGCTTGCAACACTTCTGCTCTCAGATTTGTACTGTTAAACAACCCTGTCAAAATTCTCCACCAATAAAATGCCGGGGATGGCCAAAGCAATCACCACTGCCTCTTTTGCGGGCTCCCATAACTTCTTACTATGTCCCTTATGGGCAGTTACAGTTACCTGGATTCATTTATTCAAATGGAAAGACCGTGCTCTTGATTAAAGAGAAGAAAGTAGGTCATTACAGGTTTAACTTCTCAGTAAATAATGAAATGTTTAAAGTGAAGCTGCCCCTCAGCTATCACAGATCAGAAACACAAAAGCTGATAAACCTGACAACAACATACGACTTCTCACATTTCTTCACTTCAGTTTTGACAGTAAATCTGTTTTCTATCTTGTGCCTTACATCACAGTCTGAACAGCATGAAATCACTTTTGTTTGACAACTCCTGGTCTGCTCTCGGTTGAACTCGGTCTACATTTTGTTTGTGTGAATTCTTAGTCATCCAGGTCATGGTGATCCTGTGCAACTACACTTCTCCTTCAAACAGAACCATTCAAGAGGCTACTTCAGTTTCAGAACTGAAAAAACATCTTGAACGTCCTCAAGCACCTAAAAGAGAAGTCAGTTACTTTCTACTGAAGCTCCTAGTACAGTCTAGTCTTGGTTAAAAAGTGATTTTAGACTCTGAGTACATACGTTATAGCTGCACATGAAGCACCAACTCTGTATTAATGCCTGTAGGTGTCCAAATACTTTTGTCCTCATGGTGTAAACTAACCCTCAGCTTTAACTTTATTTCCCAGGCTTAGAGCATTACTAAGGTACAGCACATCATTTGCACAAAAGTGGTTTCTGCAGTGGCTCAACGAAAAGGTCAGATCTTAAGCGCGTAATTCTGTTACTGTGTGCAAATAAAAACAACAAATGTTTTCTAAAGAAATATATTATGTTTAGAAATGCTGTGTTAACAAAAGTCTTTCCTCTGTTGAGCAGCACTTGGTAAATTATTTGTAAAAGAATTACACTTTCATAGGGAGGCTAACATTTTGTCCTCAAATGTATGATCGCTGGTTGAACAGCAGAAGTCAAACAAAAATCACAACAACAAAAAAAAAATGCTTTTGACACACTTTTCAGTTTACTCTCATTTGTAAACGACAGATATTACCAGTCCAGTGAGCACAGATGAGGTGACTTCCAAGTAAAAAGAAAAACCTAGATCAGTGCTTCCTCTCTCCTCTAAAATCTCACTGAAAAGCAATCAAATGTTTATCAACTGTTCATTTTAGGAAAAAGAGTAAAAAAAAAAGTCTTTTAACTTTTAACCAGAATAGCGTCATCAACAACATGCAACAAGAGCAGCAGGTTTATTGAATTATATTCCTTTCTTTATTCAAGAGGGTGAGCTTTCAGTTTGAGAACATTAATTCCCAATGTTACGTTCAGATTTTGTGATGCTCTGCCCTAAAAACCTTTCACTTTCAGTTTAGCTTCTAACATTCCCACATTATTGCCTTTTCACCTGCTAATCCCAGTGTGGCTGCTCACGTAACAGTCAGCGCAGAAAGAGCTCCTGCTATCCCATCTAAAGTCACTGAAGACAAAAACCAGAGTCTCTTCTCCCTCTGGTATTCCTACCATGCTAAGGCTAGCATGTGGAGGCTAACAGGACAGCAGCAGTCTGATGACCTCACAGCAGGCTCATTGGTATGGATCAGTGTCGCTGCTGAGCACTCACAGTCTTTCATCTGGCCATTACAGAAACCTACTCAGACCGTCTCCTTGACAACAGCATGACTGATGCCTATTGTTAGCTCTTCCCATTAGTACAAACTCACTGGAAGCTAATCTCGATTGCCCTGTCTTATGTTGCCACGGCCTTAAAATAGACTGTGTTGTCATAATAAAAGACAGGGATCGTTCAAAAGCACCAAAGATGGCTCGTCACTTCCCACTTGGTTACGTCCACTCCACTCCATTTAGCAAAGAGCTCTGCTGTCAAGTTCACCGAGCACATTCAAAGGGCCAAGTAGGCTGCAAGTTCAACACCACAGACGGAGCGGGAGGGAGGGAGGGGGAGCACTGAAGGATACTGTAGTCCAGAGACCCAGGCTGAGGTGCGGTACGTCCCCAGCTGCTGGCCGCTCTCTGAGCAGTGCCAGGTGAAGTTTTTGTCCTGGCTGGTGCTCAGCAGCCACTCCATCTCCAACACAAACAGCACCACGGTCACTCTGCCCTGGTGGGCTGCACATACACAAAACAGCACATCAGATCCATTTTCACAGTCACTTTAATCACAGTGCACAGGGTCTACTTAGAAATCCTGACCTTGATGGTGCAATCATTTTCAAAAGAGCTTATTAGCAATACATTTGAGAAATAAAATCGCACAAGTTTAACACCCTATTTTGGAAGCTGAAAGGCAGCGCCACCATTTATTCTAATGGTCAAGCACCACTGGCTTCTGTAAGGAAGTCCAATCAATACATGAAGAGGAAGTTGCTGCTTCACTCTACTGCAGAGATATTTTAAGGATATTACTGTTTAATAGGCGACACAGTCACACATGACACAGACACATGTGGCACATACCTTCACACACAATCACAGAAGAACATCTTAAAACTAGAAATATCTCTGCATTCATTTAAAAAGCAATCTTCCAAGGGTTGCTATGTGCACTCATATAATAAAAAAAACATGCAGCGTAGTTGAACCAGTAAAGATTATGTGTAGAGATCGATCAGTGGTGCTCTGGTCCACTTATTTCAGACTGAGTTATACTCAACAGAAAGAAATGAATTATGAATACAGCTGGAGAGCAAACACTCCTCAGGCTGCAGAGTTTTGGAAGCCTTAAGTACACAGAGCTGGGCAGATTTTATTAGCGATGAACTGTCCTGAAACAACCTAGGTAATAATGCATAGCATAATAATAAATACATACTCAGAGGATTTGCAGAAAAAGCGGTCAAAGCAAATGATGGAACAGGCCAGTTATTTTACAGATACATCTGATTTCACACATGAAGTAACAACACAGTGGTTGTCATTACTAGATGTCTTTGGGAGTTAAGTTTTATAACATAAAGCCCTTTTATGACTAACTACAAGGAAAATTGGAACATAAAAGATACAAGCAGTGGCAATTTCAGGTTTTGTGCTTATGTTTTTAATGGAGGCAAATCAGATTTCTATTATTAATACTATGTGCTGTTGTAATAGGTAACTTCAATCAGCATTTTTTTGCATTTTAAGGGAATAAATGCATCTTGTAAATTGTTTGTAGTCTCAATTTGTCAGCACCAACACTAGGAGTCACCAAAGTCAGACATTTTCACATCCCCCATACAGGAATTTAAAGACGTTACATACATACTTGCATTCAAGTCAATATCTGCCACGTTATTATCATTATTGTATTAAAAAAATGTCCCCCCCATGTGTAAAATGACCTAATGTTATCACCCGTTAACAATGCACAGAAAACTGAAATGTCTTGAACTTAATTTTTTATGCATCTTACTCATGTGTAAATGTAACTTTAGGCAAATCGAGCAGGTGGTAAAACCCAAAAACAAGACAGGCTTTGTCAAAGTCTGGATAAGAGTGATGTTTTTTCTTTAGGAGCAACATCTGTCAAACAACTGTGCAGTCATGCTTTCTGAACAAACATTTCCAAAGCAAAGCTTAATACCCTCAAAAGCTAATACACATAAACGTTTTCATATTGTTCTTTCATAAATCAGATACACCTGACAGCAGCCGGGCTCTTTCCAGGTCTTTTCCATGTTTTCGGCTTACTGAGGAGGTTCGTGTATATCTGCCTACTTTTTCAGGACTTCTTGGTTCAGAAATATGTGACATTAACTGACTCACACACATGAATTCACACTCTGTGTCTCACCCTGGTAGGTGCGTGCTGGAGTCATCTTATTGTAGTCTTCTGACAGGACGAACTCCTGAAAGACAGGAAGTGGAGATAAGTGTTCACGCTGATGGAGGTCACGGACTAAGGTCTGCAAGCAAATCTATAAATAGTGGAATAAACTATGTTGCTGCGTTTAAGTATCAGTTTGTACAAAGTAGTACTTGAACAGTTAAGTGTTTTAAATGGAACAAGGTCAAAGATGATTTGTTGAGATTCTTGCGTTGTCACTTTTACAGCTGCACTATTCAACAGAATTACGTTCATTAGCAGTACGTGGCATTTCATATGCTGTGTCTGAAAAAAGATCTGGCCTGTGAAAGATAAACACTACTTACAAAAAATGCAAATGCGTGTTTATAGGCAATAAATATCACCAGTTCCTGTTCTGACATTTCCTCTGAGGCCACCACCCTTAATAAAACACTTGTGGGAACTTTTAAGTTTTGAGTTTGTTCTGAGAAAAAAAATCTTACAAAATGTTCTCCTATGTTACTTTCTGACTTTGTATTGGGATGACTTGTTCCAAAACAAACGACTCTCACTGCGATTTTCTAAAACAACGAAACAAAAACTGGACAGTAAAATCCAGGGCTGCATAGTGGAACACACTGGCCTCAATGGTCTTGTGTAGGAGTTGTTTGTCATTACTTCATACAAACAAGACCACTCGTCCAAAGTCTCACTTGTAACCACTAGAGGCTGCAATGTTCACCACCACATTGGGGTTATTTTGTTTTCTAGAGCTTTGCGAGTAATGAAGATGGAAAGGAAAGGCCATTTCCTAGTAAATGAATCTATCTGACACTGTAACATTCAGATCTGAAAGAGGAACTACAGGAAAGTTTATGACGTGTTCAAAGTTAAAAGAATTCATCATTATCAGGGAAACATAATTATGCAGAACAGATTTGAAGAAGGGCTGTGGTTAGCACTGTTGCCTCGCAGCAAGAAGGTCGCCGGTTCACGTCCTGGTGAGGATACCCAGGATCTCTCTGTATAGAGTTTGCATGTTCTCCCCGTGCAGCGTGGGTTCTCTCCGGGTTCTCTGTTTCCTCCCACACAGTCCAAAAACATGCTGAGGTTAACTGTTGATTCTAAATTGTCCGTAGGTGTGAATGTGAGTGTGCTTGGTTGTCTGTCTCTAAGTGTAGCCCTGTGATAGACTGGTGACCTGTCCAGGGTGTAGGGATTAAGTGGTGTATAGATAATAGATGGATGGATGCAGATTTGAAGAAAAACTGTCAACTCCAAAATTGTTGAGAAATCTCAGATTCATTCTCTGCAGTAACTTTTTAGTACTTTGATAGTCTGTCACAGACCAAAGGCAAGTTTTGACCTGTTGTTCACATCAGCAGAAAGGTCACAGGGTCAACAAAGGGTTTAAGGGTTATCATCTGGGAGGCACAAATACTCAGAGTAAATTTCACAGCATCCTGGCACTGGATAAACAAACCGGGTTTCTGTGTTGGCAAGCAAAGAGCATCGTGGGAGTTTAGCTCATGAAGGGGCACAATAACAAAGTCTTCTATAACGTTTAATGACCTCCGACCAATGCATTTATGTTAACTCACAGCTTAGTATTCCAAATTTGGTTGATCATCCAGCATTTATTAAGAAGACTATTCAAACATATGACAGCTCTGCGACAGCAGATGTAAAAAAAAAAAAAAAAAAGTGCTGATACTGATCAGTTACATACATGTCAACATTGAAAAAGTTTGTAATTTGGTTTGATAACATTTTTACGAGGCTCCATAAAATAATCACTTCATTCCATTCCAGATGTCAAATTTGACATGTATTTCCTGTCAGCATACCAAGAAGAAATACAACCTACTGGGATGACATGCATACTTGAGATGATTACGACTACAGCAGCAAGAAAAGCTGAGCGAGGGCCCAGCTGAGGAAGGAAACAAAGGCCAGAGGGTCGCATTTGGAAGGGAAGCCAGTTGGTGGTTGGACTTACACAGATACTTCCAGTGTCCATCCCCACAGAAAGCCTCCTGGTCTCTGGGTTGAAGGACATACAGGAACATGACGCTGGAGACACAAAGACATACAAGAATGATAGTAAACACTCTGTCTCTACATGGGTGTTATTGTTATTTTAGGAAAACTTTCCACTCTAATTTGATGATCTTTTAACATCTAAAATTGTACTGTAATGTAAATTTCTTTGCAACTATGATTTCTGTTCCTCTGCATCACACCGTTGCATCCTCACACATGTCTTAAAGCAAATATAAAAGACGCTGTCAGTGAAGGTGCCAACAACAAACAATATATTATGGTGCCTAAGTCTTTATTCTTAACACTGGAGACATTAGCTTGACAATAAAGTTAACATCACTATCGCTTTCAATTGCATCTCACAGTTTTCCTCATTTTATTGAAGTTGAGTAGAGCTGAGCTTCATCTACTATCAAAGTGATGCAATTGAAAGCTAAAAAAAAAGGTTCTTTGACATTTTTCAGCAGCGGCACTCAAAAAATTCTAAATAGAAACTATAATGATAATGGTTAGGACCAACAGTAAAGTTCTGAGGCAGCAATATCTGGGAGAAAAAACAGATAATCATAGATCACATTCCTGCTTTTCAGACACTTAACATTCACCTTTTTTTTTTTTAGTAAGAAAGAATGAAAGCTCGGAGGATGGCTCAAAATTAGTTATTTAAGAAGTGAAGCCAAGATACACACTGAGCAAGAAAATACTCTTTAACAGTACTCTAATGGAAAATGACCTCACTTTTGGTGTTGATGCACTGCAATGTTCTTGTTACCAATCAGTCACCACACAAAAATCAGCCGATAATGTGCATCATGAACTTTCATTTAGCCCACATCACTTAATATGCATCTCCTGCCGGGCGCAATCTACACCTGGAACACTGTTAAATTATGTCCTCCAGCTATTAAAGTACCCTGCAGCTATGTACAGGAATCATTTTTCATTCATTTCAAATCACTTTCATTGTGTTTGAAACTTCCAAAAATAGCGTTGAATTAACATCCCTCTGAAACAGTCTCAATAACTCCTCAGCATTCAGAGCTCAGCAAGTATAGTTGAGAACACAAAGCAACAATTTTTCTCCTCAAGTCAGTGTTGATTTAAGTCTCTCAAGCAGAAGAAATGTTGTTTTGTTTGGCCTTTTATTTAATTTTTTTTCAGTATTTTCTTTTCTCCTCTGATTTATTTGAACAACACGTTATTAAAAAGCAAATGAACTACTGTCCTTTTTGTATTTTCTAAATGCCAGTAGCCTCAGGTCAAAAAAACAACACTGCTGTAGGAAAATAAAGCAGCAGTTTATTTATTAGAATTAGCAGATCACTCTGAATTTTACTGTTGCTCAAGAAACTACACATCACAAGGAATATCCTCTCTGTTCAAATCCACTTTGGGTGATTTCACAGAGAAAAAAATAACCATAAAATTGATTTATTGCAGATAATTTGGTCGGTTATATTGACCATTGAACTATTTTGAAAAAATACTGTGCTGTTGCAATTTCCTGAATGTGTTGGCTGGGGTTTTGAACACAAAAAAAACGTAGATCGGGGACCAAAGTCTCTGCCATTTGACCTTGTTTAAAAGTTTCCACAGAGCACAACAGACAAAAAAAGCAATACAAAGATATGTACATGTCTTGTATATATGAAAAAACTTGCAGTGAATTCAAATTAGATCAAAATGTAAGTATTCAATTTATTCTGTATGAGTTTTATCAGTCTTTCTGTCAAGAATGTAACTCACTTCTTTCTCTATGTGTAACTTAGAGAAGCGGTGAGTAAAGTGCAGTTTGGGGACACTGACACTTTCAGTATGAGTAAAGCCAAATCGTTAACAAATGCCGTCTGTGGTACTGCTATTGTCAGCGACACATCTTGCTGATCGTTGCATGGGATTTCCTTCAGTTGCACAACTGGAGGGAAACAAGGACAAACCACCACAAACGTGCAGCACTGAGGGAAGAGCAGAGTGACTGATCCTACAGGAGCTCTGAGTCGAGTATTTGGAACATGTAAACTCCACGCCTTCACGTCATTCTGAGTGTGATACACTATGTCCATCAAATTCAAATTTAAATTCAAAAAAACTTTATCTGTCCCTGTAGGGGCAATTGGGGGCCTGTTCCAAAAAGTCTGTGTTATGTGGATAATTGCTAACAACAGTTACATGCTCATAGAAATATATGATTTATCTGATGACACTGAACAGGCCATCCTATTCAAACATAAATATTATATTAGTATACAAAAAAAATTGCATTTGCACTAAACTTTGGCTCACTGAAATTTTACACAAAACTTCATTGTACTTTTGTAATCTTGCACTAAAGCGCTGGTCCACTCTGAACATCTTTTACACATATCTCTAGTTGCACATAGGAGTTTAACACTTATTTCCCTTCTCTAACCTGTTGCCCTTGTTTAAATGCATGTGTGTCTTATTCTGTATGAGCACTTTAAGAGCGAAGTCAGATTCCTTGTATGTGTTCACATTTTTGGCCAGTAAAGCCAATTCTGATTCCAATTTTGATTTACACATATGGAAAGACGCATAAACACTTACATGGCATTGTGTGGTAGACACTGGGCCAGTACTGGCCGCTGTCTCTCTTCAGCCATACCCGAATCGTCCTGTGGGGTGAAAGCAGCACATTTTAGGCCTCATTGCATGTGTGGGGGATCTTGATGTGTAATCTTCTCCACTCACTCTGAGATGTGAGTGATAAGCTGTACAACTCTGCAGGAAGTGACCTCCACTTTGCTAAATGTCACTGGAAATATATGAAGGCGCTCACACCACAGAACTTAACCAGGGTTTCGAAGATTAACCGGCTCTGAAATCATCTCTTTGTTGGTGTGAAAGAAGCACAGGAGGGTTTGAAGTTCAGAACCAGCTCCCATTGACAAGAGCCACATGACCCCAAGATGAGGCACAATGTCAAAACAGACACATACATACATTGATGAGCCAAAGCATTATAACCATGCCTGTCTAATATGCTGCTCCGCCTGAGACCTTGACAGCAGATCCTTTAAGTCCTGTAAGTTTCAAGTTGTACTCGCTTAAAATCAGACTTCCAGCACCACCCCTGCCAACATCCTCTTGTCAGTTTGAGGTTTGTTTCTTCTCAGCCCACTGTCAGTAGGCACCCTGCAAGCCTTGTCGTGCCAACCCAGTTATCTGACAATAACGATCTGGACGGAAAAACTCAGTTTTTCCCCTCCTGCCAATTCCTCTCATATTCAACACATTAACCACAAGAGCAGACTGTTCTTTAACGGCTTTTCCTGGCTCAGAATGGGCCTTCTGGGGTTACTGTAGAGGAATCATGACACTTCCATGTACAGTAAAAGTGCTGCGTCTATGTTACCTTTTTCGACAGAAATTTATGCATTTTCTGCTATAAAAAAAACAAAAACAATAACAAAACTGGTCAAAAAAATTAAGCTACTTTTATTTTTAATACTTAGCATTTCGATGTTGATTTTTCTGTGGTGCTGACTACAATTTCTTTGAGAGATGAGACAAAAAATTCCCCTATGCAGGAAATCCCTGTCATTTAGCAGCTAATACCGTACATCGCAGGCCCAGATTGTTATGAGATAATCAGTGTTAGTTGCTAATGTTTCGACCCGGCAATGTATTTCAGCAAAAACTTTTTCTTATGATGATGAGCAAGGCCAGCTGAGGTTCAAAAGATGACTGGCAGTCATCTCTATAATGTATTTTAAATTATGTTCCACATGCAAACAAATTCTAGTGTGATTAGTTTGACAGATATTGTGGTATGAGTCACTATTTTAGTTGGAATGGTCATTTTTGCATTTCTTTTTTCACCAAAGCAAGTCTAAAAATAATGATTCGATTTCTGTTGCAGTCTGAGCCAAACAAGCATTTTCCCTTGTGTCTCGGCAACAGAATTTATAGGCTGTGGCATCTCTGCAGTATCACAATGCTCCATTAATAATGGTATGTTGTCACACATTTTACCTTTATATTTGCAGCTCCTGTGATCTGGATACTGCTCTTGTCCATATTTCAATTTCAATAATATTTAGAATAATTGTTCAGTCTTAATGCACACTACAAAGTACGCTACTACTTCTGACAGAGTAAAATTCAATAGGCATAAAAGCCGTTTTTACTGCAGCTTCCAAAGCACAGCACAAGGTTCTTAAAATTCAGTGAAATCTCTTAAAAAAGGTTAATCTATACACTTTCTTCATGGGGTTATGGGCATGAAAAGTTCTGACAGCCCTGCTTTACAGCCTCCTTGTCCTAAGAGGATGTACTAATATCTGATTAGTTGTAGTAAATTTTATGAGTACATCCCTCACTCAAATTTCCCAGGAGACAACCACAGTCATAGGTACGATACACAAATCAACCACAACATTAAAACCACCTGTTTAGTATTGCGTGGATTCCCCTTGTGCCTCTGACCATGAACACTGGACTTATGTGGGTGTCTGGCACTGGGACTTTGGCTGCGTATCTTTTGGGCCCTGCAGGTTGTGAGGAGGAGCCTCTGTGGATCGGTGCATCCCATGGGTCAATACCTTGGGCTTATTTGTTGTGTTCTTTGACCTGTACCTGGGGAGCTTTGCGCTGTGGCAGTGTGCATTGTCCTGCTTGAGGGGGCTGCCATTAGAGGGGGTGTGCTTGGTTTGCAATGTGGGTGGTACATGTTAAAATAACATCCACATGAATACAGAATCCAGATTTTCCCAGGTAAACACTGCATTGCAATAAGACAATCAGTGGTCTCACTTCACCTGTGAGTGGCTTTTAATGTTGTGGCAGACAGGTGCATGTTTCTGCCTCAGGGCTATGGATCGTATTGCTTAGTTACATGACATAAATTATTAAATACTAGTACAACTATAAGCAATGGCATCAACAGCTAGGGTTATGTAGAGATTACAGAACATACAACCTTTGCACATACAGGTGCACCCTGAAGCACCTGCAATGGGCTGGAACACCCACACATGACCCCAGGCCAGTGAAACAGGGTACGGGGAGAAACTACAGCACTTTAAATACCTCCGTGCTGAGAGACTCTGTCCTCCAAGGCTACTCTTAGTGCTATAATATCTCTAACACACCCAAGCTGCACATGCCTTTATGAATGGGCTCTGTTTAGGTAGCTAAAGCTAGCTAACGTTAGCTTCTATTACAGGTGATTATAACTGGCTACATCTTTAAATTGCATTTTTATTGCCGTTAAATGACTTCGTCAGTGATAAAAATGAAACAGTATGGTTTACAGCTAGCGTATAACGGTGTGACTGTGTCAGCTGACACTTCAGTAAAGATGTGAGGGAACCTTCGGACTATTTATCCAGTCGAAGCTAAATCCATACAGTTAACGTAAATTAGCTTAATTTGTGTTGTAGCTCCGGAGCAGCTCGCGGCTTACCTGTCCTCAGACACGCTGATAACGCCGTCTTCTTTGGGAATGATCACCGCCGTGCTCACAACCTCCTGGAAAGCCTCGATTTTGCTCAGCAGACAAGGCTTTCGAGCCTGCGGCTGGGGCTGAATTTCGGCCGCCATGAGTCCGTGGTGCTCGAAGCTCCGTCTACGGTTCTGGCTCCGAGAAACATAACCCTCCGCGGTCCAACGGCTCAGCTCTGCGGCGGGCAGCTAGCTAGCTGTCAGGAGGCAGCACGGCGCTGTGTCGGCGGCCAGAGGTGCTGCCAGTCAGCTGACAACACACACAGTCACACGCAGCGACTCGCCTCAACAAAATAAAACTCCAGA